CCAGTCAATCTCTAACATGCAAATGATTTTTGATATCATTTTGAAAAAAAGAAAAACAAAAGATTACTATTTATATCTTTAATTCTTCTTCTTTTAGGATTTCTTCTTTTCAAAGAATTTTGTTCAACTTTATGTGATGAACCTGTGCCTCAATTAAAATTCTATGAAGAGGTTTATTATTATTTTTGTTTTTTAATTAGTAAAATAAAAAAAAAGTTCTTTGTTTTGACAAATAATTGAATATTTAGATAAAACGATTTGAAAAACTTGAAACAGATGAAGAACGATGGCGTGTAGGAAAAGAAATTTACGATCAATTTATAATGAGAGAACTTCTTTCAAATTCTCATGTAAATATTTTTTTTTTTGTTTTCTTTTTATTTTTAATTCTTTTTTTTTTTGTTTTGTCTTCATTTATTAAAGACATACTCAGAACGAGCTATTGAAAGTGTGAAAAAACATCTATCGAAATATAATCCAAATAATTCAAAAAATTCTTTACCATCTAATTTATTTGAACCATATAAAAAAGAAATATCTGATCTATTACGTGGAAGAATATTTGACAAATTTATTGAATCAGAAAAATATACACGATTTTGTCAATGGAAAAATTTTGAACTTAATATTCAGGTTTTATATCATTCTATCATATTTCAACATTTTCAAAACTAATTCTTATTATTTTCAGTTGACAATGAATGATTTTAGTGTACATAGAATAATTGGTCGTGGTGGTTTTGGTGAAGTTTATGGATGTAGAAAAGCAGATACAGGAAAAATGTAAATAAAAAAAATTTTTGTTTTAATTTAATATTATGTAATATATTGTATTTTGAAAAGGTATGCAATGAAATGTCTTGATAAAAAACGTATTAAAATGAAACAAGGTGAAACATTAGCATTGAATGAACGTATTATGCTTTCACTTGTCAGCATTGGCGTATGTTGATTATTATCTTTTTCTTTTTTATGTAGCTTTTTTTTTTTTTATGACTTCTTTTGTTGTTAAGGAGGAAGGTTGTCCATTTATTGTCTGTATGACATATGCATTTCATACGACAGATAAACTTTGTTTTATTCTTGATTTAATGAATGGTAAAATTTTTCTTTGAAAACAAAATAATTTTGAAAAATGAAAAGATTTTATTTTTTGAAATTAGGTGGTGATCTTCATTATCATTTATCTCAACATGGTGTTTTTTCGGAAAAAGAAGTGAAATTTTATGCAGCTGAAGTTATTTTAGGATTAGAACATATGCATCTTAGATCAGTTGTTTATCGTGATCTTAAAGTAAGATTTAATATTTCTTTGTTTTGTTTTTATTATCTTTTTTTTTTTTTCAAAATAAAATAGCCTGCAAATATTTTACTTGATGAACATGGTCATGTACGTATATCAGATTTGGGTTTAGCTTGTGATTTTTCAAAGAAAAAGCCACATGCAAGTGTTGGTACACATGGTTATATGGCACCAGAAGTGTTAGCTAAAGGTGTTGCTTATGATTCAAGTGCAGATTGGTTTTCATTTGGTTGTATGATTTATAAATTATTAAAAGGACATAGTCCATTTCGACAACATAAAACAAAAGACAAACATGAAATTGATAAAATGACCATGTCAATGGTATAAACAACAAAAACAAAGAAACAAAAAATTTTTTTTTTTTATGTATTTCTATTTATATTTAGACAATTGAATTACCTGAAACAATGTCAAATGAAATGCGTACATTATTAGAAGGATTACTTCAACGTGATGTTGATAAACGGCTTGGTTCTATGGGCAGATTGTAAATCTTTTTTTTCTTTTTATTATTATTTGCTTTTTTTATTTGATAATATTTGTCTATAAATAGAGCTGAAGAAGTAAAAGAACATCCATATTTTAAAGATATTGATTGGAAACAAGTTTATTTACTAAAATTAACTCCACCATTAATTCCACCACGTGGAGAAGTTAATGCAGCTGATGCTTTTGATATTGGAAATTTTGATGAAGACGATACGAAAGGAATTAAAGTAAAAAATAAATTTTATCAAAAAAAAAAAACAAAAAAGACAATAATTATCGTTTTATTTCAGTTAACAGAAGCTGATCAAGAATTATATAAAAATTTTCCAATTGTTATATCTGAACGATGGCAACAAGAAATAACTGGTAAACTAATTAAAATAAAATATTTTCTTTTCAAAATATCAAGAATAAAAATATTTTTTTTATTTAGAATCCGTATTTGATACAGTTAATCAAGAAACCGATAAAATTGAACAAAAACGACGTGCAAAATTTAAACAAAATAATATTTATGATGATGAAAAAACATCTGATCTAATTTTACAAGGACAATTAAAAAAAAATACAGGAACATTTGGATTTTCATGGCAAATACGTTATACAAAATTATATCCAAATCGACTTGAATTACATTATGAAAAGGGTGATAAAGATCCAGAGGTAAAATTTAATTATGTTTCACTCGAAACATTAAGATTATTCTTTTTTTTATTGTTCTATGAAATAAGATCTAAAAAATGGAAATAAGAATCAAGGAGTTCGTCTTTCGCCTTTTCTTTTTTTTTTCAATAGCTCTTGTAACATAATACACTTAATGTCGTCTTGAATTATAAAAGCACAATAAAAAAATAATAATATGTAATAACTCATCAATAGACAAATATATTGATAATGAAATCCTCGTTGACAATACAAACAATTTCGTCATCTTAGAAAAGTTACACTCAGAAGTTTTCAAATGTAACTCAAATAAATTATATACTAAATTATATTAAAGCACGTTTAACGGATAATCTGTATATGAGATGAATAGCACGTTTGATCAACGGAAATAGGCCTTTATTGATATATCCTTTGAAGTTAATCTTATACGAATAAAAAAAGCAAAAATAAAAAAAGACATTTTATATAACGGATAAATACAAATTGAATAATTTAAATATTGTACTTATCTTAATAAAGGAGGGAAAGAAAAAAAGATTATCTTTTAAAAAACAGATTCTATGAATGTTGATATAATTGTCTTATATGTATGTTAAAGATCAATATTTTTCTTTTCGGATGAATGATAATAATTAGGTAATCGTCGTAGAAGGTCATGTTATTTACACAAACTTATTTCGAACTAAATATACTTTTAAAGTTATAGATTATTTTGAAGTTTATTAATAAAATTCTATTTTTTTTTTTTTTTGTTTCAATAAAAATAGGTTTATACTATGGAAAGAATTGAACATATTGATTCAAAAGAATGTAAAGGACAAAAAACGATAACAATACATTTAAAAGGTGGTAATGAACCACGTTTAATGCTTTCACCACAAGTAAGATTGAATTTTTATTTTTATTTTTCAAATAAATATATTTCTATTTACATAATCGTATTCGTCTTATTTACACATTTATGTTGATTTGTTTTTTCTCTTGTGTCTTTATGAAACAAAAAAAAACAAAAAAAAACAAACATAATTTATCTATGTCTCAATATGCATGTGTGTTAGTTTGCTTTCGTTATCATCTATCAATGTATTGAATTTCGTATTTGTATTAGCATGTGTATAGATCTCGTTGTATATTTTTTGTTTATTTTTTTTTTCTTCTTTTTGACTTGCTTGGAAAAATTGTATAAATCATCTCCCATAGGATGAAGTATCATGGATTGAATGGAAAAAAGCATTATATGATACACTTGTTGCATCACAACAACATTTAACTGTTAGTGAAAAAGCATCAAAAATTTATGGAGCTGATGTAAGTAGTACAACATCTATAAGTATTAATTCAAATCAACAATCATCTTCCGGCAATTATCATAATTCATCATCGTCTGGTGGTAATACTAGTGCAATGAAGAAAAGTAATGTTGCTGCAGCTGCACTTCAAGATTAGAAAATATAAACTTTAACATAAAGAAAATTTTACTTAGAAAAGAGAGAAAAAAAACTTTTTTGTTTTTTTCTTCTTTCTGTGTTTTGGAAAACAATGATTTGTTGTATTCTTTTTTTTTTCTTCTCTATTTCAATTTGTTTTTAGTCGTTTCATCGCTGAACCATTTCTGTTGCTGCTTTTGTTGTCATTCAAAGTTTTTTTTTCTCTCTCTCTCTCTCTCTTCCTTTGAAATGTTTGTTTGTAATTGTCTTCTCGCTTGTTTCTTCGTTTTAAAAAAACGTGTGTCATCTCGAAAAAAAAAAGAAAAACGAAAAATATCCGAACATTTATAGGATATCGTCTCATTTCATGAATGGCGTACGGCATTAAATGATGCTTTAAATAAATCAACATTAACTCTTCATTCATCGAAAAAAATCGGACGATTATTAATGCCAAATGGTAGTGGATCTGCAAATACTACACAACATACTGCTGGAATAACAACATCAACCAATGTCGCTCAATATTCACAACAACAACAACAACAACAACAAGAACAAGAATAATAAGAAATTATGAAATTTCGCATATATTTTTTCCTTTTCTATTTATATCTCTTTATCTCATTTTCTAGTCATTCTGGCCTTTCGTTTTTTTTTTATAGTCGGTGGTTTGATCGGACAACAAAGCTATTCCTTCTCGTATCTTTGACCTTTATTCTTTTAATGTATATAATTATATATATATATATAAATTCGAAAAAAGAAAACAGTGAAAAGCCAAATTAGTCTATGTTTGTCGCATACGTACATAAAACCTCTCTTTTCTTTGTCGTATTTCTCTTGTTGATGTTGTTGGTTATTAAATTCTTTTTTCCTTTTCGTTTTTTTTTTCTCTATTTCTTTTTTTTTTTTTCTATTTGGCCAGAAAATAATACTAATGAACAAATAAATTCAAATCGAACGATAGTTTGCTTCGAATATTATTCTAAATTGCAGGTTAATTTTCTTTTTCTTTTAGATTTAATTTTTTTTGTTTTTTAATTTCGTTTAAAAAACTTATTGGTATCGTTTTCCGTCCATGGATAATCTCATGTGATTATTATCATACAATGGCTGTTAAAGCTTTTCTCGGTAAGAATTTATTGATAACAAAAAACAAAAACAAGAAAAATATTTGTTGCATTGCAAAGAAACGGCAAAAAGAAACAGGATTTAGACTCATCTTGAATTTACTTTCTATCAATTGTACTTATTTCTATTACAAGTTTTTATTCAACAATAAATAATCAATTTATTTGTAAAAACAAAATAATTGTTTTTTTTTTTGTAAAATAAGATTGCATCATTTTTCTATTAAATATCGTGTCTAAAAATCGAAAATTGACTAAATAACGATTAACTAACGAATATTAGACTTTGATGTTTTTAAACAAAATCTAATCATTCTAATTATTAACTAAAAAACAATAGTAAATATACTTGAAAAATCTTTAATAAGATTTAAATGCACGCGAATTTTCTTGAAAACAAAAAAACATTTAATATTAAACATTAAGCATCTAGTGATACACCGATTTCAAATCCAATTTCAATTCTTAATTTGAATTTGACTGGATTTGATTGTTGTAGAATTACAAATAGTAAACATATTAATATAATTTAATAATTCAATATCAATTTTTTTAAAAATCAAATTTAGTCAAATCTAAGAATTGGATTTGACTAGAATTAGATTTGGTGTATCCTTAAAAGTATGTGATAAATATTAAAATTTGTTTAGTCTATATTATTGTATTATCACGGCTTATAATGGGCCAATTATCATATATACATCCGGGACAGTATGGCCTTACTGGTAATAATGATATGTTTCAACAACAACAACAACAAATGCATCAACAACAGCAACTTCCAATGCATCAACAGCAACAGCAACTTCCAATACATCAGCAACAGCAGCAACTTCCGATACATCAGCAACAACAGCAACTTCCAATACATCAGCAACAACAGCAACTTCCAATACATCAACAACAACAGCAGCAACATCAAATACCTCCTCACCAGCAACAACAACAACAACAACAACAGCCAGTGCAAATGCATCCTCAACAACAACAGCCAGTACAAATGAATCCTCAGCAACAACAGCCAGTACAAATGCTTCCTCAACAACAACAGCCAGCACAAATGCACCCTCAACAACAACAGCCAGTGCAAATGCTTCCTCAACAACAACAACAACAACAGCCAGTACAAATGAATCCTCAACAACAACAGCCAGTGCAAATGCATCCTCAACAACAATACTATCAAGGAAATATGCAAGGTCCCTCGATTCAATCTCCTGAATCAATTCAACCAATTCAACAACAACCTTTACCCCCGCCACCATATATTAATCCATTTCCACAACCTACACATGATCATTTGATTGGTCAAGCTCCATCACCCCCAATTAGTCCAAGTGAACGTTATTTAGTTGGAAATTTATCTGAATCATTTTCATTTGAAGTTGCACCACAGTCAACAAAAGTAACATATTTAGGTTTAAATGGTTATTCATTATATATAATTGGTATGGGCTTTTCAAATAAATCAAAATTTATTTATGATGAACAAAAGAATCGTTTAACTATTCGTTCACTTGATTCAACAACAGTTGGTTATTATTCAGCAGTCGATTCTAATTGGCAAACATTTGTTAATATACTTACTGCTATTGATGGTAATTCATTGAAAATAAATCTTTTGATAATATTTCTTTTTTTATTTAGTTTCTTCTCTGCAAATTCATAATGCTCATACTAGTGAAGATAATAATGGTTCATCACCTGTATCTTGTTCTGTATCAATAATACGTTCAACATTTAAATTACCTGAACCACCATCATCATTATCATCAAATAATCTTCCTATATTACCACCATTATCTTTACCATCATCATCAGGAACATCATCATCAACAATGTTTGCTGGTACTGAAAATTTACCACGTCTTGATTTATTTATATCTACACGTACACCATCAACAACATTATTAAATAATAAAATTTATAATGATACATTAAATGAACAAAATTTTACACGAACAATTTCAATTCAACGTCCATTAAGACGTGCTGATCATAATGGAACAATTCAATGCCAAGTTGAATCAAATAATAATATTAATATTTTTCTTATTAAAACAGTTCCTATTAATGTTCAATGTAAGTTATATTATTAAATATAAGAAAGAAATATAATTCATTTCTTTTTATATTTTTAAATATAGATGGACCTAATTTAGAAGCAGGTGCTTTACCAACTGTTAATTTAGAAAGTGAAGCATTAAAAATAATTGCAATGGAATGTCAAATAGAAGGAAATCCAACTCCATCATATGTTTGGTATGAAATGTCAAATAATAATAATAATAGTATATCAGGAAATATGATGCCATATTATGGTCATCAAAATCCTTATGGACATCAATATCCATTATTACCACCATCAAATATACCAACAGCTGGATTAAATGTATTTAGTACAACAAAACAAATACAAAGAATTTATCAAAATCCAGGACAACATTCTATGCAATGTCAAGCACAATCAAGAGGAAAAACAATTAAACAAGAATTTTTTATTACAGTTATTCGTAAGTTATTTTTGATTTTTATTAGAAGAAAATAATTTGATTAACCTGTTGAGTGAAACGACATTCGTTTATACTACAAAATAAAACCAATAATTTCGAACACTAAATTCAAGACGAAGAAAATCTTCGAGTTAATAGAAAATTTTCTAAGTTTTGAACAAGACGGATGCGTTCTGTACGATGTATTGAATTTGCAGTAATTGTCAATTTCACTGACAATTCTTCATAAATGAATTTTTAATTTGAAATAAATTAATTTGATTGTATATGTAAACTATAATCATAATGTTGGAATTGAATAGATCTTGTAGTAATATTATATTCGTGATTTGTTTAGAAATTTTCTTTTTATCGACTGAAAATCTTCATTGTATTTTGATACTTCAGAAATATATCTATATTATATTTACACTATAATAATGCATTCTTTTGTTATATTTAATCTGTTTTAAAAATTTCTATTTAATTATTTATAAAGTATTTTTCATAAAGAAAATAAATATAATATTTATTTTAATTATTAATAACTATATTCATTTTATTTCGTGATCAATTGTAGTTTACTTAATTTTCAATTCATTGATCTTTAATAGCAACTAGATTACCATTGACATTTACTCTTAGTATCAAGTGGACCATGAAGAAGGATACTATCTAACATTTGCATCAGTTCGAAATCAATCTTTTTATTTTTACAAATTCTTGTAAAACTCTATAAAAATTGATTTATTATGTTTAATCAATGCTATTTCATTTATATTTACATAGTTATTCATTTACTATGAATTAATTATAATAGAAAATATCTTGACAAGACTTATTTATATAGAATATTCAAAGAAGTCTAGACAAATTTTTTAGAAAGTTGCACACAATCGTTTGTTGCAACTATGGCTAGTTTCAAAAAAATAAATAAATAAATAAAAGGAACAACATTCATTAAATAAAATAGATCAATGTGTAGAGACTTTAAAGATGATTTAAAAAAATTTTCGTTAAAAATCGATACAAACTTTAGAAGATATTAATGAGAAGCAAAACGATGATAATAATATTTACAATTAAATTTAATATATTTATATATTGTAATAAATAAGATTTTTGAGAAGTGCTGTTAGGAAGTAAGTATGACGTGAGTATCTATTAAAGAGACAAGTGCTATGAATTCATCACCAATCGATCTATTTTATATGTAGAGTTTATCCTCGATAAACATATTAGATTAGATTTTACAATGCCAGAATTTTTGGTGTATGTTTCTAATTTATCTTTCACAAGATATTATATTAATTTTTCTGATTTCAAGACTTAGGCTATTATAATTTTTGAAATTTGTAAAATAAATCTAACTATACTCTGTAAACTAAACTTCCTAAATTTTCCTCAGATAATTGTAGTCTTATTAAATTATATTCAATGAATATTTTGTTTTTTTTCTCCAATGTAATTTTATTGATAAATAAAATATAACAAGTGAAAGTACTCTCATATATGTACAAAATCTATATTTAGATAAGTAATATTGGCATGAGTAAGAGAGAAAGAAAAAAGTAAGAATATATTTCTGTAACGTACTGTGAAATTTTGCTATTATTTTTGACTTTTGTGCATGATTATATTGTTTTGTCCCTATGCTTCATTTTTTTCTCAACGATTTTTATTTTTTAAGAAAAAAAAAAACTTTTGTTTAATTCGTTTTTTATTATTTCTATTTTGTTTTTTTGATTAGCTTCATCTACTGGATTGAAATCAGGTGTAGGTGCAGATGGAACTCGTGGAAGTAAGTTTAAATAAATTAATCATGATTCTATTAAAATATTTTTATATTTAGAATCATATAAAATTCCAATGATTATTGGAATATGTATTGGTGGTATTTTATTTCTTGTTATTATTGCTATTATAATAGCAGCTATTATTTTTTTAAAACGTCGTAAAACTAAGACTAATGAAATACGTTTACCATCTGGTATGTTTTTGTTTTTTTATCTAATAAATCATTAAAATTTATTTCTTTTATTATAATAGAAAAATTATCAAATGAGTAAGTTGATATGTTTTATTTTTTTTATAACTAATAATTATTTTTTTGAAATATTTAAGTAAACAAGGAAAAAATCGTTGGGGTCATAATAGTAATTTACCAATTGATTATACAAAAAAATATAAACATGAAGTATTAAAAGGTGATTCATCATCAACATCACATTTAGTTGAATCAACTGAAAGTAGTGCAAGTCAAGTTCCACCAGTACCAAATCGTTCATCATCAATGACAAGTACACATTCATCATATCGTCAAGCTCCTCCTCCTGTACCTGTACCACTTGCATATCAAGAAGCAAATACATTTCCAGGTTCTCGTCCACCACCACCACGAAGACGTTCATATACACCTGATGATGATGATGGTGATGATATTGATACTAGTGTTAATGCTATGCCATTAACAACA